CGGAAGGGGAAGGCGATGCCTCCCTGCAGGAGCAAGGGACAAGGCGAGCCTCACGCTTGCCGGCCAGGCGGGAGTGACAGCAGTGGGTCGCTGCCAGGGAGGGTATCACCAGAGAGCACCACGAAGGGGAGCACCTCCTCCACAGTGGCTAGCGATGAGTCTCATGAGTCGACACCTGACAGCTGCAGGGATGATGATTAAGGCACAGGGACAGCAAGAGCAGATGAAGTTGAGGAAGCTGCAGAAGAAGAAGAAGAAGGCCGCAGCTCAGAAGCAGGCATAGCAGAGAGCCAAGAGAGTGCAGACGCAGACACAGGAGACACAGACACAAGGGGTGCAGACACAGGACATGCAGGGTCAGAACAGGGAACAGCAGACCAGCAGGCCACATAGCCAGAGAAGTCCAGATGTAGGAAGCCAGACCAGTATAGGAGGAGGAATTCAGGCAGGGATAATAGCTGCAGTGCTACTAATATTACTGCTTATCATGACAGGGGTGAAGCCAAGTGAGGGAGCAGAACAGCGATCAGGATCAGGGACAGACTGACCATTGTTTACTCGCACTAGGATCCATGGCTGTAAAACAAGGACAGATGCCTAGCAGAGAGGTAGTGCAGCTGACCTTACTACAAGTGGCATGCTTATGATGATGTGTTGGTGGAAGCTCCAGGAAATATTAGGTCGCATGGCCAGTCTATAGGACCACAATGTAGTGCAGAGGGGATGGTGACAGCAAGAGTATGGTGTGACAATGAAGGTTGTGCCAACATAGACACCGGGCTCACAGTACCCGTAGAACTGGCTCAGCAATGGCTCAAACTAAAACCAGAACCCCGTAGGAGAACCAGAAACGCGCCAGCACGAGACACCGAACTAATTAGAACTACCACGTGGAGATCTAATATGTCTTACCAGTGGTTAGAGTACTCTGCCAAACAGGTAACCAGCAGCTCGTGCATAGCCTGCCTCAGAAAATTAGGCCTACCTAGAGTTAGGCCCCTCCCAGGTATAGAGGATTGTGATCGACGAGACACCTGTTTTGTACAGTGTACTATTGTAAGGAAAATGCTCAACTTTGGCAAACACTGAAATGAAGAGACTCGGAGAACCACGGAGAAAAGTTACAGCCAACGGGGTTACTTTAATCGCAGAACTCAGCATACAACAGTATACTAGTCTACACAGCAAAACAGATGGAAACAGCGAAACAGCACTGAACAATCACCCTTCAAATGCTTTTATAATGGGTGTCTGCTCATTCATGTGCATGTGTGTGTATGTGTGTGTGTGTGTGTGTGTGTGTGGGTGTGTGTGTGTGTGTGTGTGTGAATAATAACAAAGTCAAATAACATTTGTAATCAGAATTTGTTTTTTTCTTTCCTCCATATATAGAGCCTGTATGCTGATGGAAGACAGTCCTGATGAGTCAGTAAATGAGGAATCACATCTTGGAGAAGTCAGTCATGAACAGTTTCCTCTGGAAAACGAAGAGCCACTTTACACTGGTTCACGACTAACTCAAGATCAGAGTTTTTTACTTATACTTTAATTTGTTTTGAGACACGGACTCACAGGCATGGCTCTCTCTGATCTCCTAGATTTGATCAATATTCACTGTCCAGAAAACACAAAGTTAACCTCGTAGTATCTGTTCTTAAAAGAGCTTAAGACAGTAGAAGGTCACCTACAATGTCACATATATTGTCCGAACTGTGAGTACCACATTGGTGACCAGGATAGTGAAGGACAATGTGTTGTATGCCACACAACATGGGATAAAAAACAGCTTGTTAAAGAATGGAAACTTCTTTATCTACTTACCAATCCAAACACAGTTGGAACATCTTCTTCAAAGGGAAGATATTGCACATTGTCTCAAGTCAAGAGATGGCACATGTAATTCTGAAACTTATGAAGATATTGGAAGTGGTAAAATGTACGATAATCTGTACAAAGTTGGAGGCCCGCTTCACTGTACTCATGGATACTCCTTAACACTCAACTGTGATGGAGTGCCTGTATTCAAATCATCACTCTATGGTATTTGGCCATTATATGGGATTGTAAATGAGCTTCCTTATCCTGTGCGCAAAGAAAATGTTCTACTTTTTGGCTTGTGGTTTGGTGATAAAAAGCCAAATGTTAATACATTTTTAAAGCCATTCACTTTAGAGTGTCAGAAGTTGTCAACTGTGGGCTTTAAGATAAAAAGAAACAGCATTTTGGAACAATGTAGAGTTGTGGCAGCTCTTATGATGTGCGATTCGGTAGCTAGGCCCATACTTCAAAACATGACCCAGTTTAATGGTCAGTATGGATGCAGCCTCTGCTTACATCCCTTTGAACAAGTTGAAAAGGGTCATGGCACTGTCAGGGTATACCCATACAAAGACGTTCCAAAGAGGGACCTCGCTTCAACCATAAGTGATGCAAGAGAGGCTTTACAGACCAAAAAATCTGTGAGGGGTGTTAAAGGGCCCACATCTCTGATAAAGATTCCACACTTTGACATCATATCTGGCATGCCTCCTGACCATATGCATAATGTACATCTTGGTGTGGTTCGCCAAATGGCAAGCATGTGGCTGGACAGTGATAACCATGAGAAGCCATATTACATTGGCAATAGAGTGAATGAACTTGATGAACAGCTCTTGCTAATCAAGCCTCCATGCAATATCACAAGAGTGCCCCGATCTTCAGCAAAGAAAGTTTTGGAAGGCTTCTGAATGGCAGAACTGGTTACTGTTTTATAGTATATTTGTGCTAAAAGGAATTCTGCCCCGGGTATTTTACCAGCACTGGTTAGTCCTTGTCACATTTATGTACTTACTTTGCAAGGACATTATTACAACAGAGGACATAAAAAAATGTGAAAAACTTGTTGTAGATTTTGTCAAACAATTTGAAACACTGTATGGAAAGACCCATGTGTCATTTAATGTACATTTACTATGTCTTCATTTGCCAGAATCTGTCAGGAATTGGGGACCATTGTGGGCTCATTCTGGGTATATTTTTGAGTCATTTAACTGTGAAATACTGAAAATGTTTCATGGCACGTAGTTTGTTCCTTTACAGATAATGAAACAATTCTCATGTAGACAAATATTGCCTCTTTTGAGGAATGATGCACTGAGAAATGCTGTTCCTGAATGCATCCGGCTATTTAATAACTTAACTGGCCGAAAAAGACTGAAGCAGTTTGAAACAGTCTGTGATCAAGTTGTTACCCTTGGTTTGCATTATTCTCGAAAACTTTCTAGTGAAGAGACACTGGTCATGAGAGAGCAACTTTCTGTCACCACAGATACAGTCGTGAAAATATTCAGCCGACTTCTAGTCAACGGAGAGCTGTATTACTCACAGGAGTTCACAAGGGTAGTGAAAAGGAACAGCTTCACTGTACTGTTGCAGAATGGACAAATAATCACTGTATACTACTACATTGTAGTAGAGCAAAATGGTGACAGAAAATGTTTTGCTTTTGGAAGAAAGTATGATAGATCACATAATACACTGATTAATGTTGAAAATGTTGTTGGTCTGAAAAGGGAATTCCGGGGCAGGAAACAGATATTTGATGTGACACTGTTCGAAAGAAAATGTATGCTAATTGATCTGCCACAATATGCAAGCCTCTACACATGTATACCTCCAAGATCCAGTGTGGAGGATTGAACATTTAAGGACAAAGATCCAGTGTGAAGGATTTAACATTTAAGGGCAAAGTACATTTTAATTGCCAAGAAAAAATCTATGAATATCTTTATAATCTTTCTAATTTACACTAAAGGGTGAATTTGACCTTTGCAACTCTGTTTCAATAAAACTGTTATTTGTGTAATGCAGATTTTTGTCTTCACTATTTTCTTTATATTCAAGGTTCAATCCATATATTCAAGGTGCATTCCATATATTCAGAGTTTCATTCAATATATTCAAAGGTTCAATCCATATATTCAAGGTTCATTCAATATATTCAAGGATCCATTCAATAAATTCAAGGATTCATTCCATATATTCAAATATTAATTTCCTGAACGGCATGCCATAATATATATGGCCGAAAAAGCCATATATACAGTATA